CGGGTAAGCTACGTGCAATTTGAAGAAAGTCGCCAACGATTCGCTACGAAAAACTCGCTGATTTATTGAGTTTTTGGATTTTTCAGATGCGCTTTTCATCAATCGAAATGGGACACGTAAACTCCAGCCCCATGAGCTTCGGTAAGTCCCAGAGAATAGACGTTTTTTTTCTATAAAACGGCTTTAACTGGTAGGAAATGGATACCACTATTTGATCAAATTGCATGTAAATATCACTGACTTCTTTCTTCTCAGGGAAAAGTGTTTTCTACCGCTCAAACTGGCGCTAGAGTCGAGGTCGAGCAAGTTTTCGCTCCACGCTGTAAATGGATTGCAGGTTAGTGGATGCTTAGTTTTTTTCGCGGCCAATTTATGTAGAAACGTTTATTTTGCACGGTCAATGGATGGATGGACTTGATTAATTAATGAGCGAATTTTATGAAAGGAGTTAAAAATCAAAGCAATTCTACGGATGATAAAATCAAATCGTTCTTAAAATGATATCGCCATACTGTAAAAAAAAAGTACTTTAATTACGATCACAACGCCGAATTATTCAAAGCAAAATAACATCTCGAATATTAATCAGTTGCGTGCGAATTAAAAATTGCGCCTTGATTAGAATGGCCGATATCTCTAAGCTTGGCGTTTTTTCGTGAGCAATAAATTGCCATAACAAAATAGCGGTGACTGCGATACGAATGTAGACACAGAAATATGTGAAGCTAATTATCGTAAAGGACGTGGCCTCTCAAGCTATTCTCCACACAATATCTTACTGCATATTAACGACAGACTCTCCTGCAACTATTTAACCAGCTGATTAATTCTGATTCAACACACTCTTTCTGTGTCTGTATCACTTTTCGTTTGTACTTACTGAATAAGTACAAAAAATGTCATCTTCGAGGCAGAGAATGTTCATTAAAACAGCTTTTTTACAGCGATCTTTTTTTCTAGAATTATAATTACTTCGCAAGAGGGTAAATTGATTTTTAATAATTTTTAAACTTCCCTTAAAACTGTCCTTTTTTACGTATATAAAAGAAATTAACAGTTATACTCTCAGAGTAGAAAGTTTTTCTTCGACAGGTAAGGGAGCAATTTTTTTGAATGGGTTTTCATTAGATGTTAGCTTCTGTTAGCTTTTGACACCGTACAAGGAGTGCTTTTAAGACGCGTTTTAAAACAGGCAAATAACTTTTATACGTGCTAATTACTTGCTGTAGTCAAGAAGAGACTTTTGCGAAATAAACCTTTTATTAAAAATATCCATTTACATTTTCTTGCCAAAGTGTTGATGATTTTCTCCTGAGGTAAAATAAACTCTGGCAAATTTTGAGAAAAATGTATCGTCTCCCCTCGCTTTGACTCCATAAATTAATAATTTATCACGTCCTCGTGGAATAGATCAGCAGTAAACTGTCGCTATATTGACATGTTATGCTCTTTCAAACAGTTCTTGTTTACTAAGGTTGACGGAAAAATGGACTTTAGAAAAAGCAACTTTGGTTGAATCTATGAAATTTATTGATAAATTGAAACTGTCGCTAGTTGTTTTGATTTTTGATATTCTTGTTCGGCCTGCAAAAGTCGCGCTGCGCGTGGTACACTGTGAGAGAGGTCGAATGAAAACAAACCTGGTCGAATTCAATCATTAAAGTAAACTTTACGAGGTTTTCTTGTAAGATACCAGAACCGAAATTGATTTTAAGCTTTCCCGTCGTTTTAGGACCTGCTGTTTACTGTGAACTCCAACAAGGACGAAAGCTTTGTTCTTTTGTTCATCGAAATCGCCGTTTAGTTCCACTGTACGCCAACCAAATTAGTTCAAGAGCTACTTTCCTAACTCACAAATCTAAACAATGGAATTACAACTCAATATAATATCCGTTAAAGGAAAATCTTAGCGCACGCCATGGGTATGAGAGGGATTTCGTCAAAGGAAAAAGATCCAAATAACCCGGTTTTTAACACCAGTGGATCGTAGTGTTATTACCTGTACCTTGAACCTGTATTTCTGGAGTTCGAAAATCGATTTAGGAAAAAATAACAAAAGGCAACAATTTCTAACACAGTGCTGTAGATGGAACCAAAATTTAAGACTAAAACGGCAATGACAGAATGTATGCAATAGATTCTGCCTATCTAACAAGGACAGAACAATACAAAATTTATTTTTCGTTTAACTTTGTTGAACGAAAAACTGCTGATACTCGATAATATCGAGTAGGATAACATGATGGTCGATGTAAATAGCGCTACGCAAAAAGCTCTCTGCTATGGAGAAAGCTATCCTCTTGTTTGAAAATATAAATTCAAATAACAACAGGGAAGATTCAAGACGAGTCGGGGAGTGGTTTGCCGGGGGTCTGGCACTAACCTGTCGCCGGCTCGCCTTAGTTTACCGCTGACAAAGAAACGCTCGCACCGAAGTATTTATAATGAGAGCCTGCTCACAGGCTATTGAGTATCGTAAACCATTGAGTAATTACAACTGCCGAGAAGAATGAGAATTAAATTCGGCTGCCTGGCATTTTTAACTCTTAGGTTATTTCGGGCAGCCAGCGCCCCTATCATTGTCTGTACTATTATTATAAATTTTTCTTTCTTGTATATTTTGGGGTGAAAAAAAAATTAAAAAAATAATAAAAAAATAAAGTTGTTAAAAGTAAAAACAATCCTGAAGCGCGAGCGACTAAGACGCGTTGGTTTTAGTTTGGAATCTTATTGGTTGAGAGGATGGCGCGTGTTTTCTGGAACAATGCCATGGCGATGTTAAGAAAACCCAAAGCAGTCACGGATTGCTTTTCTCAATTGAAACTTTCTCTGAACGTCCCGATCACTTGAGCATTATTTTGGTCGATTTGTTCCATCCGGACGATTATATGGAACTTAACTATGATAAAGTGACCGAAAACGATTAGTATCGGGAATTCCTTAACCAACTCGAAAACCTTTAGCTTAGATTTCATTCGCATTTGCTTTTTAACATCAGAAAAAGCAATCCAATTCTTTGGGGTTTATATTCAAATTAAAAAGGCGGCTTAAATCAAGTGTGTCTTAAATCAAGGGGTAACTACCTTGAAATTGTAGTCCAATCTCCCACGGCAGAAGCGATGGGATTCTGCAAGAGACGGATCTTGGTAATAGATTATAAGACTACTGTTCTGACTCGTTTGTCAACGGTCCCGTTTCAGAAGTTAATTTCTGATGACCGCTTTCGGTCGGAGAATGAAGAAGACCCTGAAAGTCAGCTTCCGGTTCAGTTTCTTGCAACAGTGGCGTCCACTCCTACACTGGCAGACGAAGTCCAGGTCGAAGTTATGAAGGTTAGTCAACGTTTTCTGATTCAGGTAAACTCTCTAAGAATTTTCCTATATTTTTCTTACCTGAAACTCGGCGAGCTCTGAGACAGATACTCACCAAAGTTTACGATGTGTAAAAGTTTTGCAGTGGTAGTTAAATGCAGATTGGCCGCTAAATGTGACCCCCTACGCTGAATATATTAAGCTCCTAACTGACACTTGCAGTCCGTATCTATACCATAAATGGTTTCCGCAACAGTATGTTAGTGGAGTGTCAGAGTAAAATAGTTTCATACCTGCATGCAGAGGAATGAACAAGAAACGGTGAAGAGTCCAAGAGCATTTGACAAATAAATACTGCGCGTTAGATTTGATTTGATATATTTAGTTCATAAATCACGGAACGCTTACGATGTGAAAAACACAACTGGAGTTAAGCTTATCTAACAACAAATAAAAGTTGACATTTCCTTTTCCAAAATAATCTCCCTATTTCAGATAGTATGCATTTGATTTGGGCTTATTCTGTTGTTATTCCTCATTAGCTGCTGCTGATCATAACCTGTTCCGCGTCGTGTGAAGTTCACGGAGAATATCTGATTAAACTGGCTGAGGTAAAGTGTTAGCTCTTTAACTCCCAGAAGTGATTAACATGAAACTTCTCCCTATAATATCCATACATTATCCGGCAAACAGGTCATGAGAATACTCCAAATTATCAGGTAGAAGTTGCTATCCTAATCTTACGCCAAATTCTCACAACTAATATACAAGGAAATGTGTAGCAGCTAGAGGATAGAAATAACAGTCAGATCTTGGGAGTTAAAGCGTTAATGTAGTACTGTAAGTATTCCGAAAAGGTTTGTCTGTACTTTTAAACAGACAGTTCTAGCGTACAATACTTACACGACCTTAAACCAAACTGCAGGTTCACTCATGTCTCCCTATTCGTAGATATGCATCGAGACGTACACCCGTGCACATCAAATCGCCACCAAGACAGCTTGCAGAGCTACCCTAACACAGATGCTTAGCTCAGTGTGTCATCGCCTGCAGGACAGCATAGCAACTCCTTTGGTAAGGCTTTGATCGCCATCAAAGTTTGCGTTTCAGTAGTGTGTAGACCGGACTGAGTGAGACAATTTCAAAGCCGAATGGAATGCTCAGGTGAAATTTAGGGCGGTTAAACTAAACTAACTGTGGAAAGGTGCAAAGGTGCCGCGGTTAGTAACTATTCAACTAGACTGGGCTTCGGATTTAGAGATCTGGGTTCAACCCCTGGCCGGGTAACTGAGCTAAGTTCTTAGGCAAGACAATTAAGTCTCACGGTGACTTTTTCTACCCAGAAATATAAATAGTTTCTGAAAACGGTAACCCAAGGTAACCTGCGAAAATCCTGAGGTTCCTGTTGTGGGCAAACATCCCATTTGGAAGGAGGACATAGAATGCGTATAACAGTGTATTATAAATCTTTTTTAGACATCCAAAACTTCCTCGTCGGACTCCAAGATCATCAAACGTAAGTCATGATAATTGTTCTACCATAAATGGCTAAACAAAACTTTAAGTTTCCTTTCCTTTATACTTTTTCCTACACTATTCACTGATTACACGTTTTACCCTTTATACGCACGGTAACATCATATTCCTCTCCGTACATTTCCTATGGCACCGATAAAGAGAATCTGTTAGACAGTCAAGAGCTTCTTTAGTTGGTGATCAGTTCCTTTATTATAATGACGTAAGCGTTTGATTCGGCAGTGATGCTGTTTAGAGAAATCAAGTGCTGGTCACTCTTTAGTAGCAAAGGGTTTCAAAAGAAAAGAAACTCGAACCACGTTAGAATTATTCAATTGCGCATGTCTTTAGCTGCAGCTGGCGTAAATCGACGGGGACCCGGGTAACCTGCTTATCTTTAATTTTTTACGTGCAGACACGAATCTTTTTTCCACGGACCATGCCAAGTTGTTGAGCCAAGATGTGGTGCTATTACTGAAACACTTTTGCTTCCGACTGACCGCAGGACCTAGGTAAGGAGATTTCCCCTTTACAGGTCAAGAAGAACTGATCTCCGGATAAAATTACACCAAAACAAATAGAATACTTTTAACCCCCATGATATCCAAAGAAGTGATGTGGTTTCATATCCCTTAAAATCAGTGCAAAGAGGTCAAGTGTGGGAACTTTCAAATGAAAACCAAAAAGCACTATAATTAGGCTACAGAGTCGATTTTCCCTTGGCATACAGAGTAAAATTTGTAGTAGCTATTTTCTAATCTTTTTATAAGTTTCTTAAATCACAGTTGGGAATTACGATATTCGCTTCGGAATTTCTAAAGTAAGACTGCATCGTGTCAAAGAATCTGCAGTGAAAATTAAAAATTTTTAATGAAACTTTTCTTGCCTCTTTAGTTCTCTTTGAAACAAAACATCCAATATTTATCCAACTTAATTTGGTTTTTTTAGGCACAGAATCTTTCCAATTTAAAAGAAAATCACTTGTCCTCCATGCACCCTACAAAGAGCCAGTGTTATTCTCCCGTAGAGAACATTAAAATTTTAGCTCTTAAAATAGCACGATTCGTGGTTTTTGAACGCACGACTCTGGTCTTAAAATGCAGCAGTTTGCAACAGCTTCCTAAAAAACAAGTTATTTTACATGTTGTTTTGTCTACATACAAATTATTTGGGCGTAACACAAATAAGAAGCAAAAACAATATTTTAAAACTATTTCGTTTGTGCGTGTTTCAAGTTATTACCATCAGATAAATTTTTTTCGTTAGAAAACGGTGAAAATGCGGATATAACAGTTGCACTGACAAAGTAGGCACAAATTTTCATTTTTATTACCTCGTGGGTCTTGTTAAAAGGCTTATATGAGGAATTTCATCCAGTTCTTTCTTGTTTTGCCCTACACAGCATGGGATTACTGACGGAGATAATACTTGAAGACACGTGTTGTTGATAGTTTATCGAATATTCCATCACTGATGAATTCTAGCTTGTAAATATCACCATGAGACACTTAATACAGTTAACGAGCGGCCCAAAATGATGTGATCAAGTAACCGAGAAATCTTGGTTCTTTTCGCAATCTTTTCGCCTTTCGTTGCCCTTAAGATTTTAAATACCCGTGAAAATGACAGAGTGCATAAAAAATGCGCTTCAGGTTTCTTGGATGGGCTGCTTAACTAAGAAACGGAGAGAAGTACGTACTTTAACAATTATAAGTACCAAGAAAAGTAAAGCAGATTAACTTTGATATCGAAAGGCCTTGTTTTACATCTAAAAATGGCTCTAAATCGTGAAATGATGGCGGAAACAGCTTCCAAATACACCTGAAAAGGTTCGTTTATTTGCACCTTTAAAGATCGTCGCACAATCTTAAGAATACTCTCTGAGGTGGTGACGTTTAAAGATTTCGAAAGCATTGTCTTTTTTCAGGTATCGGTTCATCTTTGAGATTTTGGTAACTATTGGGGTTTTCTGTGAAAATCTGAGGATGTTTTGTGGTTTTGTTCAGAAAACGGTGAATAATTTTACTGGCGACATGTTTGCATAGACACTTTAAGAATATCTTCAGCAAGTGTTATTTGAAGTTCATCTCGACAATCTTCTCACAATTGACCGATGCCTTCATTCTTTTGAAGTCGATTTTAACACAATTCAACTCTCTTTTGCTTCTTTGGAAATCTTGTTAGCGATTCTCAACCAAACAAGTTTTCTTCATCACCTGAAAAAGACTTAGCGTTGTATGCAGTCGAAACGTCGCGATTCACATTGAAAATGACTGCATCGTGGGACATACGATTACATACTTACCTGTGTCCTTTTTTTCCACAGCGTACCGGTGCAAGGCGGCCAGGCCATTCCATTGTACCTGGAAGCCATCTTGGTTATGCTTAGTAGCCTATCCACAGCCTTACAACAGGAAAAAGAGTTTATAAACGTTATCTGGTGAGTTCATAAATACTTAAAGCTGACAAATGGACAGTCTTTCCCTACCTTATTTCAAAAATTTTCCCTTCGAAATTCAGATCACAGGATCATGGCCATATTCACAGGAACCTAGCAAGTAGTAAGGATGATTGACAATTGCAAGGGGAAATGGGATTGAATATCCACTAAAATTCCGAAGCACAAATTCTCTCGAGTGAAGAACTACCTCATACACGGATAGTATCTTTTCTCTGATTGCTATACATCCTACATGACTTAAGTCTCAAACACTTTTTCTTCACGTTTCAGGCAACTCTTATGCCCCGCCCTGATTCAGTTGTTGGGGAGTCCTCTTACCGACCTGAACAAGCGACCAAAAACTGTGACTCCTTTCCCGGAGGAAATCAACCGAGGAGGGCGTGGAACGGGGAACTTTGCCAAGTCGTCGTCGGTTGTAGGACCCATACCAAGGACTATCTATAACATAGCTACGGAGCTCCTACGCCTTGTGGGTCCCTTAGCCGCCATGAGGCCTGTGTTGGAGTCGCTGTTTCATCGCATCATTCTGTATCCTCCAGCTCAGCAGAGAGCAGAGGCACTGAAAGCATTGAAGGAGGTAAAGTGAATTAGTTTGTGAGGTCATACCTGGCTATTATGGCAAAGTTGACAATTTAAGAAGAGGACGTACGTCATATGTGTGCCGCCTCGAGCATGCGGGCTATTAAGTGAAGATTGGTTTTGCGTTAACCCTAATGGAACAGACTCTTCCTAAAAAAAATCCTCGTTCCTTTAACCCTTTAACTCCCATAAGTTGGTCATAAGTGACCAAGACAGAATTTCTCCTTACAATATCAATAAAATATCAAGCAGACTAGTGGTGAGAGTGTGGAAAAATATCTGTTAGGGGATTAAAAGTTGATTCAATACCAAATTCTCCAACCTAACATCACAAGAACTGTATGGCAGACAGTAAGGAGAATTACTAATGAGATCTTGGGAGTTAAAAAGTTAATTAATTTTTCCTCTTTTCTCATATCAATTCGCATCATGTCCTTGAGATGAAGAAGCCGCAAAGGTTCTTGGCTCCTGTTAGTCACAAGTGTGATCAGTCTCAAAGCGCGAGCAGCACATAATTTATTCAGTCTCGAGACGAACCATTCACCTGCTACCATTCCCCTCTTAGTTCACTTGCACGTAGCAAATGTGAAGGTACTACGATATTTTTGAATATCAAATCTAATTTCCTTTTCATCTCCAGTTCCTTTCCAGTCCTCAACGGCTGCTGGATGCCGCTGGTCCAACGATTATTGACAAAGACAATCCCCCGTCACCAGACTCACCGACTGAGCAGAAGAAAACGGAACTGGATTTGCTGCGACTGTAAGTGTTTGATAGAGAAATTTCTGATTATTCCAAAGAACAATGTTTCATTTGAGATCAGAGATTGAAAACAAACGTTAACGTTTAAAATCCAAATTCTAATTTGGGCATGGAAAAAAAGTGGACCAACAGCTACTTCTTACGGGTGCCACTACTAAATGTCAATTTATTTGGTTTCTTTTAGCATCATTACTGTTAACACTGAGGGAAATTTTGTGCAGCTATAGCTTTCGAGCTTCAAATGATAAAGGGAAACAAGCAGATGATCGTTGTCTTTTAACGGTTGAGGCAATCTAATTTATGCACTCGAACAATCCATGCTAAGCCTCTTGTGACAAATCAGTACATTCATGGACTAAATTAGCCGTTTTACCGTGACACGTAAATTGGCTCTTTATTCACTCTCTCCAGGGTGAATGAAATTGGGAATGATAGTTTATTTATGATTACTAAGAAAGGTTAACTTCTTTCAAAGAAAACGCTAAGCAATGTATTCAATTTTTTCTTAGTTTAATGGATGGCATTGTGGAATCCGCTCGCTGCACCGACAGTACAGTGGCCAGCTGTAGTGTAGCATGCGTGGTAGCGTTGCTGGGGTCCTTAGAGGACTTGAGTCAAGGACGAGGCTTGAGTGACGAACACATTGAATTTTTAAGTAAAATGAAAGAAACTGATAATTGGGAGTTGCTCAAGGAGCAATACGATAATGCCGCTTCTGCACGGGAAACAGGAAATTCTCTTAATGGAAAAGTAAATGGAGAAAGGAGTGCCTATAGACGTGGTAACCGATGGGAAATTAATTCCCAGAGATCTCCGGACGGGGATATCGAATCTCTAACCGAGCGGTTTGAGGAAAACGGAGGGGCCTGGGACAGCCTTACGGATGGAGAACTCAGGAATGATGGTGAGCCACTTGAGAGGTTTTTTTTTTTTTCTAATTTCAGGACATTTCTTTACATTTCGGCCGAGATATTCGAAAAAATGGCTAGGTTTATTTAGGGTTAGCGTAATCATTGATGTTCAACAATTTAAAATTTAAATCAAATCAAAGTTGAGAAACACGAATTCGCATCGTGTTCGAAGGAAAACCAATGAAAACAGTTCTGCTCGAACATTACATCCTGTTCGAAAGAAAACCGAAGGAAACAGTTCTAAGTGCGGTAGTCTGGTCTCTTTCATGTATTTGGGAGCTCGATCAGTAGTCTCCTTGACAGCCGTTGTTTGGTCTCGACACAATCGAAAACGCTTTGCGAGACGATGTGTATGACAACGGCTGTGGAGGAGAATGGGGTTGGAGGAGGTGCCTCTGATAGGATGTCATACACAGCACGCTCATGTATGATTTCATCTCTAATCTGAGGGCAGCTGAAGACGTAAAATATTACATGTTAACAAATAAGCTTAAATTTCCTAAGTTTCAGATGAAGAACCTGAAATCAGACCCCTTACTCCTAAGAGCGTCCACTTCGCCTCCGAAGACGAAATCGCCATGTTTGAAACACACGAATTCGAGAATATCAAAAACTCACGGTTTAGTAATGCATCGCGATCAGGGATTCCTCGTAAGAGCAGCCTCCCTAAAAGAGTTGGTTCCAGTCCCCAAGGTAACATGCGCACAATTGTGAAACGATCCTCATCTTTTGATAGTAAAACGCGACAGAAACCGACCGTGCAAAAACGAACCATGAATGGGCATGCGCATCAACGGGAACGCGCTGGTTCCGATAATGGCGCACTGCAGGAAAGAAAAACAAACCTTTTGGCATCAGATGCGCAAAACAGCTCTATAAGAGTGGGCAAGTTTGCTTTACGAAGATGCTTCTCTGACAATGAAATTTCAGTTAGTAAGAGTTCCACTTCTAATTTACAGCGGTTTCCCTTGAGAAAATCAAATTCTTGGGCGGCGCTTACTACTGACAACTTTGAAATTTCTTCAGCTGATAATGAGAAAAGAAAAAGCAGTCAACAAAAACGTAACATTAGAGGTGGGATACCGAGGCCACGCACGCAGTCTTCCAGTGATCCGTCATTCAATGCTAAGCCCGGCCTAAGGCGTTTATCAAATGATGGGAAAACAGTCGAGCCAATGAACAGAAAACCCTCGGAACAAACATCACCGACACACAGAAAATATGTTGAATCCAAAGCAAATAAAATAGAAGCAAGAGAAAAGGCTTTGAGGGAGGAGAGAGAAAGAGAAAAAGACCGATCGCCAACAAAAGGCTCTCGGCCGACACTTCGGAGAACTCGTTCGACTTCGGAATACGATCGTAGACTACAGAATGGCAACGGTGATAAGCCGAAGGGAATTCTACTGAAAAGCCAGAGTATAGACGAACCTAATCCGTCGACCACTAACACGCTCAAGAAAAATTCATCACAAGGCGTAAAAATCAACGGTGTTTATGTTAAGAAAGGAAACGAAAACTCCTCGTCGGTCAAGTCACCGGATAAAAAGAAAGTAAGAGATGTCAAGAAGAGCGTTGAGGAAAACGAGAAAGAAGGTGCACGGAACTTCGCTCGTTGTTTGCTTGGCATTCTTCCATCTGTGTTAGGTCTGTCTGATCCAGTAGCTGTTGACGAGGCCTTGCAGCAATTCGCTTCCGATGTCTGCGAAGCGGTTACCTGCATGGCACTCAAGCGAAAGAACGTTCCAAACTTCGGTACACTTCGTGGACGATCGGATTTGGTCGATGAAAAGTCGGGAGAAGGAGCGACTTCGGATCCTAGTTTTCCTATTCTTAACGCAGATGGTGTTTATGTTACCGTATACGCTACGTTGACACTGAATTTAAAACTGTTAAAGAGTGGTTACTATCAGAAGAAGCAACCAACGCCAGGATTAGCACAGGTAAGAAAGAAAACAGCCATATTCTTAATGCTTGCAGGATTCCTTCAGTTTCAGGGTTCCATGAAAAATAATCGTCAGAAACAGCTTTCACGTTGACGAGAAAGAGTTACATTTTGAGGAATAAATCTGTGAAATTCCATAATGTCTTCTTCGAGACGTGGGAAATTTACGCAGATCCATAGAACCATCAACTTGATCTAATTGTTAGGATTTTGAAAGCATCGCTTAAGAAGATAGCTGCGAAGGACACAAAGAAAGATAAATTCAAAGTAAACGTGCTTGTGCAGGCACAAAGGGAGCTATTTAATGCTACCTCCTCACTCTCCCCCCCCCACCTCTCTCTCTTGTGATTAACCAAATATGGCTCAAACAACAAAGGGGGGGGGGGGTGGTGGGGTTCAAGAGACCGAGGGATGAACGAGGGATTCAAGATACTAGAGGATTTTGTCTTCGTCCGTGTGCGTGGCCAAGGTGCAAGACAAGACAGAGGGAAGTTCGTTTAGTTCAGGAATTTTTGTTTGTCTTGGTGAACCAATCAAGTACCACAACTACTCAATGAGCTAATTCTTGCAACTTTCTCTTGACATTTAAGGACGACTTCATCGATAATATTCTGAACAGCGGCATGCCTATCGGTCTCTCCTCGGTCTGGCTGGCTGAGCTGTACCGCCTGGTTACCACCTATAACATATTAGGAAAAGCCGGTTTCACACTGGATTCACCGGATGGCAACCGTGCTTTGATCAACACGCTAAATGACAACATGTTGTCTGAAGAGGAAGACAGTCCCCTCCTTCACCACAAGAACCCAAGCACCCTGCCGCCTGCCAAGAGAGAAGGGATGAAATTTGCTCGGAGACTGCTGCTGGCTACGTGGGACTCAGTGTTGGAGATTCTGTCAGCACCTTTAGAGACTTCCACCTCAGGTTTGTGACCTGCATCCTTCAATCATCAATGAATTAATCAATCGAATCAGTTTGTTAATATCATGACGTGGGACAAAGGTGCCCTTACATCCAAGCCAGAGGGTCATGTATAACACGCATGACCTTTCCGTTTAAAAGAAAAACACGTAACTAGACACAAGTTGTAGTTGATAATTTGGAGGTGTTGAGGTGCGAGTTACGAAGCTCACATTCAAAGCCAGTGTCCTGTGCCAGTTTTTTTTTTCCTCAAACCTCTTTCCCAGTG